TTGACTCTAAGACCTGAAATCGAATAGACCTAGAGAAGAAGCTTGACTCTACTGTGCTGCAGAGAAGCAACTTGACTCTAAGACTTGAAATTGAATAGACCTAGAGAAGAAGCTTGACTCTACTGTGCTGAAGAGAAGCGACTTGACTCTAAAACTTGAAATTAAATATACCTAAAGAAGAAGCTTAACTCTACTGTGCTGCAGAGAAGCGACTTGACTCTAAAGACTTGAAATCGCATAATACAAATATCTGCTTTAAAGGTTAATTCATAACATAATGATGGAGTCCAGGAGTTTTGTCATAGACTTCAATAGTTAATACTATCAAAATATATTTTCGTATAAATTCTAGTACTTTTGGGTAAAACTGCATAGTGGACCAAATCTTTACTGAAGGGTTCTAAAAATAAAAGTACATTTTTTTGAGTTTGATAAAAATTGATTGATAATTTAAGCCCTGCTTAGTGTATCCCAATACAGGCAACCAAAAATAATTTGATACGATACCCAAGAGAGTATTGCAATATGATACCAAATGATATATATACCATTGCAGCTCTACCGTAGAACTATAATTTACAATAATGAAAACTCTTAATTAACACAGCAATTAAATGCATTAATATGAAAATAACACTGGGCAGAAACAAAGCAACACAAAGTGTTGTAGAAGATAAAAGATTTAAATAATATAAATACTACGTAGACTATATAATAGGTAAACAAAGAATGGTTATATAGATCTACTGCACAGTGATACGGTACAGCATAACATTGTGAATCACTTCTATTTGGCAAGGAATTGATCCAAACTGCAAACCAGCATAAAGATACAGACAAAAACAATAAAGAATCTATAGGCCTTATGGTTCTGTAAAACGAGTCCTTTACAGTGAAGCTGGTGGACAGATAAATCATGGTTATAAAACATTTCAGGCACTTCACGCCAGATAAGCTAAATGTAACGGGGATAAATTTGATATTCTCCTTATCAATTTTTACACAATAAAATGAAACCTCCATCTTTCTGAGACAAAAGTTATCTCGACTTTAATGTAGTGTATTCAAATTTTGAACATTATATTTCAATGACAATTTTGTGACTTAAGAGACATCGAAAGGATATAAGAACATAATCAGATTTCATTGTGTTGCTACAAGGTAAAAACATGCTTACTTTGAACACTTCTGTTGGAAATTTCAGTTGTTCATAAACTAGATCGAATCTGGGTAAGGGGAACTAACTTCCTACTGTGATCCCAGGTCTGGTGTCCGTATTAAATATATTTGATTGTATATAGCTTTCCAACAGAGGCAGTGTTGGACCTTGCCAAATATAAGTGATTGACAGGCGACGGTATAGAAGACTCACGCTGCCTTTCTGGTCGAGGTTCTTTCATAACTGAGTCAACCGAGTCAGTTGTTTCATTTGCTGTAAATTACAAACAACATGCTGACAAGAATGGACGTGTAGACAACGAACGCGGTGAACTGACTACTCCAGTACTGTTTGCACCGACTACTCAAGTAACACCGTAATCTACATATCTCTATCAATATGCAATTGGGCCAAGTAACATTGGGACGCCAAAAACAATACGGACCTTCCTCTTTTAAAATTTTTGGATCTGCTCATGTGATCTGCAGGTAAAAACAACCTGGGATATTGTAATGTAACATAACACAATTTATTCTCCCAATAATCACGCTAAATTTTCTTAAACACCTTTCTGAAGATTTTTCCTTAACCAGACTGTTTCCATATAAAGGAAAGTATTGCTTGAGTTATGGTAAAAACTGTGGCTTTCATAGTACAAGTTATGGAAATTAAGTGCTAAATGAAGAACGTGAATGCAATTTTAAATCAGTAAGACTTACCACCATAGGAAGAGTATGTGTCGGATACTCGGCCTCTCATACGGTCTGAGAAACGGTCAGAATTGGACAGCAGGGTCTTGCGAGGACTGGTTGGTTCTGATGACGGCTGAGACGTAGCAATTGTGCCCATCTGGGGGATATGGACAGACAACTGGTCGCCGGATGACCTTGACACGAGGACCTGACTGCGAACATCTATGCCTTGACCAGGCTGGGATAACACCTGTTAGTAAGATATTTATTTGTAAGAGATTGAACACTTAATGCTTGGCCCCATTATCATAAAATTCTTCAATCTAATAATTTTCTGAATTTGAATATTATCAAATCAATAAGAGACCCAGGGGCCTCTGCAATGACTTTTCTGTGATTTTATTTAATTTTAAATCTGTTGAATATGGTAAATGTATGTCAAAAGAGTACAAGAAAATGTAAGCTGAGAACATGTGACAAGCACTAAGTTATGAAGGGATCTCAACCTTTTCCAAATTAAGACCTAAGTACCAAGAACCAACGTGCCGCCAACATGCAGGGGCAATCATGTGTATTCATGTCTTAACTGTATAAAGTGTTCTTAAAGCGAAGAATCTGAGGAACTTCGGCCTAACTAACTGTTAAAGACAAAGTTAACTGCTTAAGTTGAACCAGTCTTAGTCTATTGTAATATTATTCTTATTTATTCAAATCTTTCTCTGCTGTTTCTTTTGGATATGTACATTCAGACAAGTTCAACAAGGATGATTGAATCAATCAAAGTTTAAATAACACTAACCTTTGTTCCCAACTGGTTCAACATCGACTTTCTTCATAATAAACTTAACCTTTCTTCTATGGAGCCCCAACGTGACCTTTAAAATCCATTCTTGTAAAACAATTTTAAACTTAAAGGCTAAGTTTGTTTGAACACAAACAGGAATTGAAAAGTTGGGTGCTTTTGTAAAAAGCTCTTAAATGTCTGTTTCCTTTGTCAAGCAAAGAGTGTAAATGACCGTTGTCTCCACTCTAAACCGCTGAAAACAACTCACTAAACCACAGTGGGCCGAATCAAGTAAAGTCACTTTAACTTACAACTTTTCTGGTTTCCAGCTCTCCTTACCTCTCCGTCAATGTAGGCCAACTCTCCACGGAGGACGACACGTTTGACCCGTCCGCTGACCTCCATACCCTCGAATGGCGTCCACTTGGACTTGGTGAAGGGCATGGCCGAGGGTATGGTCCAGCTTGAGTCCATGTCCACCTCTATATAGGTCTCCGGCTGGTCGGGCAGGTTGAAGATACGCTTCGGGTTGGTGTGAAGCCTGGCTACCAGGTCCTGGAGGATTACAGAAAAATATTTACTAGTGAATTATCAATTTACGATATAATGTCACCGTAAAATGAAATCACTACAATGGGGAACATTAAAATTTGTTTCCAAACACAGATGGTGTCTTAATAAATACATGATCAGTTCACAAAAAAATCGTTACATTGGGAAAACAAAAAGTGTTGTATGAATATGGATTACTTTGTTTGTAACACTTTTGTTATCAAGGTGTTCAAATCTAATATACACTCCAAAACCTAAACACAAAGACACATGCATGCTCCAAAATCTATGTACCTGTCATCCTTATATCCATCACTATATGCTAGGACAGATTGGTCATATTTGGACTAAAACTATCACAATTGGACTAGATTTATCACATTTTAAAAAGAATTTTCATATTTGGAACAGACAGACAGTGTTTGAACAGGATATAAATGACCTTTACACTGATCTAAGGGATCCGATATATTTGATAATAATATACTTTAATAAACAAGTATTGAATAACCGTTAATTGACAGTTCCCTTCTGGTTGATCAGATTAGATCAACTTAAGCTGTCAACTGTGTAACTATACTACATACATCCAGTGTGAGTCGCCCATCGTTGACGGCGGTCAGAAGGAGAGGCAGCATGGTTTCCAGACCAGGGTACCCAGGGGGTGGTTTTTCCGAGTTCTTCTCCTCCACAGCATGTGGTGCTAATGGTAAAACACGTATGTTAACTCTTCCTCTGTCATATATCAATCTCAGTGTCGTTTTTATTCTATAATGGATCTAAAATTCTTAATTTCTTATCTTTCGCCCAGATAAATTGTCACCCTTAGCCCAATATTAAATTTGCCCTTCACATTTAATGAGTATGTATATTATGTTGTTTACAAATGTTCACGGGTATGATATATTAGGCCTCATAAGAATGGATGAACGTGGAATTTGATGATAAAGGGCCAATACTTTTTTTAGGTGAAAGTTCCAAGTATGGAGTATAAAGACCTACCACAAACAGCCAGCTTATTATCATATACACCTACCATGGTCCGTAGCAAAACAGTCTATAATATCCATGTTGTCCCACAGGGCCTGCTGGTCTTCCTTAGAGCTGACCTCTGGTTTCACCCGACCCCGGAGATGGCCTATACGTTCAAGGTCATCTGAGGTCAGGAAGAGGTGGTGAGGTGCGACCTCACAGGTGACTGCCAAGCCCTTCTCCTTGGCTGCACGGATCACCAGGATCTATCAATCAATCAGAACCATCAAACAAATACAGGTTTTTGATTGGACAAGACACTGCATACAGAGTTCATTAGTTTAACCATCATTTTTTTAAAAATCATTATTTAATAAAAAAAAGTAGAGGTTTCCAATAACTGAACACTTAACAATAATTGAACACTTAAGCTTGAACTTTTCCTACATATTTCTAAATATGTTAAACTTTCTCTAAAATATGTATACATGTACTATGTAGAGAAAAATATTATTAATCTGTAGTAAATACTGTCGAGAACTTCGGCTGACTAATATGACACTTTATCAAACCTTTGCGACTTCGAGTGGTTTTAATAAATTGATCAGACAAAACGTTTTACATTACTCTGTATACAAACCTCCTCCTTGCGGGCGACGTGACAGATATGTACGGGGCGTTTGTACAGCTCGGACAGCAGGATAACAGCAGCCGTGTGTGTCCGCTCTGCGTGGGCACACAATGTAAAGTTCTTGGGCCAGTACTCAAAGTGCTGTCACAAAATAAAATATTTCTGTTGCAATAAACAATCAACCAGCCTTTCAACATCCGATCTGTTGAGCAGGCACCAGTGTCTCAAAAAGTTGGTGGACCGTAACCAGTGGTTAGTAAAAAATCATAATTGTTGTCAATGAGTAATTAACTTTCAAAGCAGAACAAATCCTATAAACATATCAATCTGATCTGTCTCCACCAGTCTATAGCAGTGAAATCATATCAGAGGCTCTTTATTTTGTTGTATTCATATTTTAAAATTTTCCCTAACCCTAACCAGTGGTAAACTCTTAACATTTCAGAAACAGGATCCTGGTAGATATCCTTTTCTCCATGAGTATCTTGAATACGAGAGATCCCCTTTCAGAACTCCTTAACATAAGCATGGTCAGAAAACAGTGAGGTGTACCCTCTTTTAGACCTAAACTGTTACCACTGGACATCGTCTCTCTGAACCCCCAAACCTTTAAATCTTTAGAATGTAACTCAGCCCTACCTTCATCCAGATGGAGAGATCGTCGAGTTGAAGTGTTGTGAAGGTCTCATTGAGGTACATCTTAAGTGCGGCTGCCCGAGAGCCAAGCTGAGGCAGGGTCTGGTAGTTAGAACTGCTGGCCCCAACGAACACACCGTAGTCACACCGCGCCCCCGCCTTTGCCAGCTGTCATTATAATATAATTGCATGATTTTATACCCTCTAACACATTATGAAGATTTTATGCAATGTAATTAAACTAAAACATCAAATTTCAACATGCAATACTGTATTTACCCTGCAATAAGACCAGGGTGCCCACACATAACCTTTTACATGTGTAGGGTGGGAGTGGGTGTTTTTCAAATATCTACTGAACTACATCTATAGTTGGTACACATAACCTTTTACATGCGTAGGGTGGGAGTGGGTGCTGTTCAAATATCTACTGTAATACATGTACAGTTGGAACACATAACCTTTTACATGCGTAGGGTGGGAGTGGGTGCTGTTCAAATATCTACTGTAATACATGTACAGTTGGAACACATAACCTTTTACATGGGTAGGGTGGGAGTGGGTGTTATTCAAATATCAACTGAAATACATGTATAGTTGGCACACATAACCTTTTACATGCGTAGGGTGGGAGTGGGTGTCGTTCAAATATCTACTGAAATAAATGTACAGTTGGCACACATAACCTTTTGCATGTGTAGGGTGGGAGAGGGTGTTGTTCAAATATCAACTGAAATACATGTATAGTCGGTAAACATAACCTTTTACATGAGTAGGGTGGGAGTGGGAGTTGTTCAAATATCTACTGAAATACATGTACAGTTGGTATACATAACCTTTTACATGTGTAGGGTGGGAGTGGGTGTTGTTCAAATATCTACTGAAATACATGTATAGTTGGTACACATAACCTTTTACATGTGTAGGGTGGGAGTGGGTGTTGTTCAAATATCAACTGAAATACATGTATAGTCGGTACACATAACCTTTTACATGTGTAGGGTGGGAATAGGTGTTATAACAAGACAATGAGATCACATTTACTAACATATCTACTGAAATACATGTATAGTGTAATAGATATGGGTGGGCTTATTAACAGGCATGAGTTTCCTGCTTGATATAATAGTAAATAAGTAACAATGCCACATCGTCATGAATTTGCAGTGAAGGGGAAAATATTGGTCTTTCCCCTTTTATGCCTCTAGTCAAATATTTTCAAAACCATCCCTGTTTAGGTCCTTTTGCGATGATGAAGTACATTATATTATGTTGCATATATTCATCTATTTATAAGGGTTTTTCTGTTGCAGTTAGAATACTTAAAACTTGACAATATATCTTGGGATGTTTAGTGGTAGCTGTTACCCAAACTGATAATCAAACAATAAGTTGAGGGACGTTTAGCTGTACCCATGACAACCTATACCACAACAATTGTCACCAGCCTGACAAACAATAAGTTGAGGGACGTTTAGCTTCATGACAATTAATACCACAACAATTGTCACCAGCCTGACAAACAATAAGTTGAGGGACTTTTAGCTGTACCCATGTATGACAACTAATACCACAACAATTGTCACTGGCCTGACAAACAATAAGTTGAGGGACTTTTAGCTGTACCCATGACAACTAATACCACAACAATTGTCACTGGCCTGACAAACAAAAATCAAGACAGTTTAACACTTATATAATTACCTTCTGAGTGAGGTTGAAAGCAGCCTCATCCACTGTGGGAGGATTGGTGTTGGGCATGGCCAGTATCATGGTCACCCCTCCGGCCAGAGCTGCGGCCGTAGCGGAGGACCAGTCCTCCTTGTGTGTGGCTCCCGGCTCCCTCACATGGACGTGCACATCGATAAATCCTGAAAGGATTACATGAAAGACACTTCAAATCATACCAGTTTTACTAAGTACGATCTTTTTACTAAACATAAACATACACTGTAAAATCACTTATTTTAGAGGGTTTTTAATTTCGTTGATTTCGTGGATAATTTTCATCGTTGAATTCATAGGTAATTACAAGTTTGGCATAAAGTCATTCTTCATATGGGTGGGTACTCATAATCAACGAATTCATATACCCACAAAATGGTGCTTTTTGAGAAACCACGAAATTTGAACCCCACGAAAAATATTTCTGATTTCACAGTATGTTACAACCTTACAAACAAGGCAAACAAGGCATAGTACATGGACATGTACCTCAACAAATCCTGGAAGATTTCAGTAAGCACAATCAACAAATATTAAAATGATTATATGAAAGACATGTCAACAAATCCTTCAAGGATTACACAAGTGATTCATATTCAATCTTGCACTCCTGCAGTACCTGATAAAATAAGTCGATTCAATCACGCTAACACTGCCATTCCAGGATACATTTAAATTTGGCAATGAGAAGTGGCAAAGTAGAAATATCCATGACAAGGTGATTTACAGTGAACAAGGTGCCATAACTCTGTAAAGAGTATTTCAATTTGACCTTGAAACATACATGACAATCATATAAGCATGCAGAAGCGATGAAATGTATGTATTCAGACCTTGACACACTTACTTCAAAGTGGACTTGGCCTCTGTGAGGCAATACCATTCGTGTTTTGACCTTGATCTTGACACTGATCTGGAAGTCAGATTGACTTTTGATACGCAGTCAGTGATTTGACCTGCATGAAGCAATGCAATATTATATAAAAATGACATTCATTAGCAGGTGACAGTGAATGTCATATCTATTTCATTACACCAAAAGTCTTTGTAGCTCAGAAATGGCAGCAAACCTTTGATAATGACATCTTGTTTGTTGATAGTCTGCCGTTAACAATGGCTATCGCACCGGCGCTTGATAAAATTGGCTGTTGCCGTCAAACGTTCTTGTGACCATCACAGTGGGAAAAAGAAGCGGTGAATGCACATTTTTTGCGCATGTGATATTTATCTCTGTCTCATGGCAATATCACCTGCGCCCCTTAAAACCAATGTATTTTCGGAGGGTGACAGAGATTTTTGTTTGATTTTCTCCCAACCAATCAAATAGCTAGAAATTCACTTGAGGTGTAACAAATATATATATGTGTGTATGTTAAGACATTAACACTTACCTGGAAGTCTGATTGACCTGTGTGAAGCAATGCAGTCTATGTGTGTTTTGACTGGGGGGGACCCCTGTATCCTCCTCAGAGCCTGAAAATAAACAAAGATCATAATATATTTGTTGCCATCATCTTTCAAGGAAAATTAAAGAACATAGAAAACTTGCTTTCCCGCTGTAATTTGGTCTCTACTACCATGTTGGTGACAGATCTATTTGCCTGTATAGAGAAACTCATTATTCCAGACACAAATTTGTCAGGACTTCCAAAGGTCAAATGCTTTTGGTGTTAAATTTCTACTTCAAAGTTTGAATTTCTTTAAATTATTGTGAGTTAAATTGTAGTTGTAGAAAAAAGTAAATTTAAATTATAATTTTGAAATGTATTTTTCATAAACAAGTTTTGATTTTTAAAGATCTACCTCGACAATAAGCTTGGTGCATTTGACATCTGTGATTAGTGGAACAGAATAGTCCACAGCCATTCGCCGAGTCTTGTAGCCCTGGGTCACGAAGGAGGAAGCACGGTAGGATCCAGCATTTCTCAACGGCAAGTTGATGACGAGGTCAAACATGTTGTCAGCTAGGTAGTCAGCGATGGTGCGCTGTTCACCATCATTCTTCACCTCCCCAGTATCCTCATACGGCCAGTCTACAGGTTTTATCTACAGAAGTGAAAAATCTCTCGATAATGATATCTTATTTTAGCAAATAAGTTATAGTCCTTCTGGCTTCAAAACCAATCTCTGGTGACACCAAACTTAGTATATCATATCAGCAGGAGACAAAACAAGAAAAAACATCTGTAAGAATAGTTGACCAATAAATAGTAACAGTGACCTTGGTGTTGACCTTGTTACCCTGAAATACAAATTCATACAAGGTATTTCACATACTTGACCTTGGTATAAACAGATGAAAACCTGTTGAGAAAAGAAGTCTACTTAGTAGAGTCATGACAAAGAATCAAGATGAGAATGGCAGGGGGGAACAATAAACCAAGCGACGACTATCTCACCAAAGATTCCCTAAACAGTGACCTACCTGTAGTCCATGCTCATTGTAGAAGTCGGCGGTGCCCATACTGGCGTACAAGTTGTATCCCATCTTTAGCAGGGTTTTGACTGTAGGGAGTAGCTCCGTTTTAGACTGGCAGATACAAAGAATATATGAATTGTTATATATACTAAAAGGAAACACTGAACAAATTTGCAAAACACAGTTGTTTCCAGCTTACCTTGAATATATTCATTAATTCACAATTTTCCTAATTTATGATAATTTCAAATGCATTATTATACAACATAAATAATTATACTTCTGCACATCTTCCATGAAGCTTTCAATAATAATCTGTTTTACATTTGATTGCTAACAGTGGATTTTCAAAATCGAATTTGTGACTTTAAATCCAAACAAAGACAACACTGATCGAGTCAAACCATTACCTTGAAGCTCCCTATAGAAAGAAGGATGTTTTTGCGTGGAATTTTGAATCCTGTGGATATCTGTGCTTTGAGGTAGGCTTCGTAGCGGTTCTCGCCAAAACACGCTACCTCTCCAGTACTCGCCATTTCAACACCAAGCAGAACATCGGCGCCGTGCAGCCGTGAGAAGGAAAACATCGGTACCTGAGTGGAGAAACAGGAAAAGATAAAGTTACGTACATCACACCTTATACCTGGATATAGAGATATAAATATCGTATACCAACAAGGAGTGAAAGAAAGATAGACATGTCAATCTTATACATGGAAATGAAACAAAGAAAGATATATTTATATCCAGAATTAATAAAGAAAGATTTATACCGGAATACATATATTATACCTTTATTTTTATGAAAAAAAGTAACATTTTAATTTATAACTCAACATTCAGAGGTGTAAAAACCACTGGCCCAATACCTGGAGCTAGTAGATTTAATGTCAGAACTAGTGAAGGTTTTCACTATATGAATATATAAGTGTTGCTGGGAGAATTTTTCAAAAATCCGCTTGCAGCTAGGGTAGTACTTCAAACAGGAAAATGTACAGCCCCAACTTTGTTTAAAGTCATTGGCACTAGCAACCTAGAAGAAGATCGATCAGTTATAGACTATGAACACATAAATCACCGAGGTGCCTAAAACTGACACCTGATAGGAAATGTAACATCCTTACCTTGACTGCCACCTTGCCAACACCGTACAGGACACTGATCGGGTCCAGCTTCTCGCCTTTAATCACTCTCGTGGCCGTGGCAATGAAGTCATGATCTAACGCTTTAGACACAAATGGGAATGACCTTGACACCCTTACATTGCACTCAATGACCTTCAGTTGATTGTCCTAAAATTGAAAAGAAAAATTAAACTACTGCCTACCTTGTCAATGAATACTCTCCATATTTGCCTACTATGGCAATGAATTTCTACATATCTGCCTCCTCTAGTAACGAACTCGCCTAATATTTGCCTAATTTGTCAATTAATTACTACATATCTGCCTCCCCTAGTAACAGGCTTGCCATATATTTGCCTAATTTGGCAATGAATCACTACATATCTCCCTTTGCAATGAGCTTGCCTAATTTGGCAATGAATGTTGTCAATAGTAGTATATCTTGCCAATGTGTGGTTCAATAAATTTGCCTACCTTGGGCAATTAATTATGGACATGTTTTTGCCCACCTTAGCTATAATTGATTACTGTATTTGCTATGAATGGTTTACACATTTGCCTAGCTTAATAACAGATGGTCCATTCATTGCCTACTTTCAGGACGAAATGCTGCTTTATTTGCCTCATTTACAAACGAATGGCAAATGAATTGTCCCAATATTCACAACTTTCCATGCCATACCTATCTCAATGTTTGTCTACCTTGGCTATGAGTTGGAGGTTGAATGGTCCAGTGACCTCTAAGGCTTGTCCAATAGCACAGCAGATCATTTTGATCTTGGCCAGTGTTTCCTCATTGAGATCTTGTGGTGGTGTCACTAGAGTTGCGTCCCCTGAATGAACCCCAGCATTTTCCACATGCTCACACACGGCCATACAGATCACGTCACCGTCACAGGCGACAGCATCTACATCAATTTCCTGAAACAAGAAAAGTATACTGTTATTCCATGTACTTCTTACTTATTCTTGCTGTCCTATATATATCAAGTATTACATTAGGATTTCTGATTCTCCTAAAGATTACAAACTTTATTTGACCACATTAACCTTGACTGCATGCTGCCAAATCTTTTGACCTATGAAACTATTGATAAATGACTGCAGTATTCATAGTTACTATCAAACAACTTTGACACCTAGTATACCCACTGACCTTGACATATGTGACTGTTATAAAAAAAATCATATGATTAAATAGCCTTCATTTTACTGTTACTGTATAATATATCGGTTGTTATAATATTCTCCGGCAAATAGAATGTCACGATAAGCAGGTCCCATTGTACATGATTTCAAAATTATACTGGCCTGGATATCCACATAAGCTACAATACATGACCTTGACAACTGACCTTGGCTTCAAGGATGAATTTGGAGATGACAACCGGGTTGTCCTTGGAGAGTGCGCTAGCTTGGGTAAGAAAAGTCTCAAGATCGTGGTGAGAATGTGCCACATTCATAGCTGCCCCGCTGAGCACATACGATGGTCGCACCAGACATGGGTAACCCACCTCCTCACAGAACTTCTTTGCATTCTGAAGAATAGAATCAAACAAATGGTTAAATCTTTCACCTACCTGTTATATGTAGGATCTTACATGAGTTTCCATTTCATATGAGATTTATGAAACGAGCCTAAGAATTTTTAGGAGAGCTAAAATGAACAAGAGGCCCAATGAGCCTGCATCACTCACCTGGTATTAATCTCACACTGGTTTTAAACCTCAAATGGGATCTAAAATAAAGCTTCAAGCAAAATATCAGTATTTATGACTATAAGTCATTCAAAAGAACTTGTTGAAAGATTTAAAAACATTTCACCCCTGTGACCTTGAAAGTCGAACAAGGTCACTACATGGAACAAATTTTATAGCCCTTCATCCAAGCATGCTACCGGCTTAATATCAACATTTTGGGCCTTTTGGTTATTCAGAAGATGTCGTTCAAAGATTTTAAACAAATTCGACCCCTGTGACCTTGAATATAAGTCAAGATCATTCTCTTTAACAAACATGGTAGCCCTTGATCCCAGCATGCTACTGACTATATATCAACATTCTAGGCCTTATGGTTATTCTTCAGAAGTCTATTAGGCCCCACCTCTCTGCCCCCAGGAGGTCAAAACCCACCGTTTATACAAAACTGAGTCCCCTTGGCCCAAGAATGCTCCAGATTAAATTAGGATAAAATCCCTTAATACCTACAGTAGAAAAAGGATTTTAAAGGTTTTACCTCTATTTCCCCTATTCGGCCCGCAGGGGGGCCACACCCACCGTTTATACAAAATTGAGTCCCCTTGGCCTAAGGATGCTCCAGATTAAATTTAGTCCAAATCCACTGGGTCGTTCAGTACAAGTAGCGTTTTATAGGAAAAGTTGACGGACGGACGGACGGGCAATGGACGACGGACGCTGCGCAATGGCATAAGCTCACTTGCCCTTCGGGCAGGTGAGCTAAAAATTAGTGACGAGTTTCATAAATTTCATATGAAATGAAAACGAGTGTTAAGATTATTTTTATCACATAATCAAGATTTGTGACATTTATTCGTGTAAAACGACATTTTTCATGCAACCATGAAGTGTAAAAAGTCGCCATTTTGACCCGAGTGCCTAAGTATGTGCCGTCATGAACTTTTCGAAGGCATGACGAAACAATTGAAACTTTCAATCAATCACAGGGCTGATGGGTCATATTACATGGGTTAATATGCAAAAAAATATGACATGGGTATATTCACTGGATAACACATAACATGTGTGATAAAATGTTGAACCTCCTACAATGTGGTTACATATTACTGACTCAACTAGAGGTTACATAACAAAATATAAATGGAAACGGAAGAGGCACATTGGACCTGTATCACTTTATAAATATGAACCGTAATTTTACATGTTTTACAGTTAACACAATATAAGAACAGCACAGATTAGTTCTCCCGAAGGAAGACAAAGCTGCAGCCTACCTCAATGTTGGTGAGTTCTTTCCACAGTGGCTGGCTAATTCCCATATTGTCAAGCATTCTGGAGAACTTGAATCGATTCTCTGCATTGTCTATACTGTCAGGTGATGTACCCAGTATTCGTGCCTAAAACAAATAACAAATAACAAGTTGTTTCATTTGTGGATTATAAAATGATTTTGAGCATCAATATCTTTTATTTAGTTATTGTCTATACTGTCAGGTGACGTACCCAGTATTTGCACCTAAAACAAACAACAGGTAAGTTGTGTCTTTCTTGGATTATAAAATGATTTTGAATATTTATATCTTTTATTTGGTTATTGTCTATACTGTCAGGTGACGTACCCAGTATTTGCACCTAAAACAAACAACAGGTAAGTTGTGTCTTTCTTGGATTATAAAATGATTTTGAACATTTATATCTTTTATTTGGTTAAAAATAGAAGAACAAAGTGAGCCCACAACATTACTTGACTCTCAATCTGCAGACCATAGTTCAAAACTTTTAACCCTGTCAACTTCAACTCATAACCTACTTGTTGTCGGTGAAGCGCCATGGCGATGTTGTTGGGGAGTTGTCCCCCCATAGACAGGATGATGCCCTCTGGATCCTCCAGGGTGTATATGTCCATCACCGTCTGAAACACAGGTATCACATCACCAGTTATAGGGAAAGTATTTAGTTTGACTCAAGTGCTCAGGAAACACAGGTATCACATCACCAGTTATAGGGAAGGTATATAGTCAGACTCCAGTGCTCGGGAAACACAGGTATCACATCACCAGTTATAGGGAAGGTATATAGTCGGACTCCAGTGCTCAGGAAATACAGGTATCACATCACCAGTTATAGGGAAGGTATATAGTCGGTCTCCAGTGCTCAGGAAAGAGATCTTTAAGAGTGAGGATGCTGGAGGTGTGCATTCATTAATTTTCTGCATACTTTACTGTTGTTAGTATTGAATTTTCAGCTAAACAGATATAAATTGACAGCTTCACCAGGGTTAACAACAATGGAAACAGATCCATAATTTGGAAAACGTGCTTTGATGCAAAACAATTTTTCACAGTCAAATTAAGGAAGTGTTTTATTACCTCAAACGAGATTTCGTCGAAGTAGAGGCGGTCACACATGTCGTAATCTGTACTGACCGTCTCTGGGTTGTAGTTGACCATGATGGTCTTGTGGCCCATCTACAACAATAAACATTTGCAAGGCTTAGAATACTTCTGTAATACTGTATACCGGTAAAATTGTAGTTTAATTTTTCACCTTTTTGCTCTCCCTAATGATGGCGAATTTCCCACTACAGTGAATATAAGTAAACAACATAATATACAAAGCGATTCAATGTGATGGGCAAAATAAACACTGGGGAAATTGTTTCCATGGGCGAAGGGTGAAAGTTTGACTGAGTGAAAAATTCCCGCTATACAGTATCAAGCATGGGTTAGACCTTGGGTACATGACAAAGACAACATTATACAGTAAAACCAACACATCAGTATCGTGGAACTTTTATAAACAATTATGTCACAGTGTTGAACCATCTAGTTGCTTGCAATACTTGCTCAGCAAGTGGAGATTTTCCTTCAGCCGAGTCTGTACAACACTACCGGTAGACTAGTAACTTGTTGTTCTGCTTTTGACTTTTAACGTAGGCACTTCAAAAGGTGGGGTCAGTTATATCATACACCAGTCTAATCAATGATCTACGTTTGATAATTAACTTTGTTCTGATCAGCGTGGTTGTTATATCTCTGAGGAAGGCTCAGGAATGCCGTTTTACTAGGGAGGAGTAGTATGTCACAGAGATGGTTGTTATATCTCTGAGGAAGGCCCAGGAATGCCGTTTTACTGTGGAGGGGTAGTATGTCACAGAGATGGTTGTTATATCTCCGAGGAAGGCCCAGGAATGCCGTTTTACTATGGAGGGGGAGTATGTCACAGAGATGGTTGTTATATCTCCGAGGAAGGCCCAGGAATGCCGTTTTACTATGGAGGGGGAGTATGTCACAGAGATGGTTGTTATATCTCTGAGGAAGGCCCAGGAATGCCGTTTTACTGTGGAGGGGTAGTATGTCACAGAGATGGTTGTTATATCTCCGAGGAAGGCCCAGGAATGCCGTTTTACTATGGAGGGGTAGTATGTCACAAAGCTGGTTGTTATATCTCTGAGGAAGGCTCAGGAATGCCATTTTACTATGGAGGGGTAGTATGTCACAGAGCTGGTTGTTATATCTCCGAGGAAGGCCCAGGAATGCCGTTTTACTATGGAGGGGGAGTATGTCACAGAGATGGTTGTTATATCTCTGAGGAAGGCCCAGGAATGCTGTTTTACTATGGAGGGGTAGTATGTCGCAGAGATGGTTGTTATATCTCTGAGGAAGGCCCAGGAATGCTGTTTTACTATGGAGGGGTAGTATGTCACAGAGCTGGTTGTTATATCTCCGAGGAAGGCCCAGGAATGCCGTTTTACTATGGAGGGGGAGTATGTCACAGAGATGGTTGTTATATCTCCGAGGAAGGCTCAGGAATGCCGTTTTACTATGGATGGGTAGTATGTCACAGAGATGGTTGTTATATCTCCGAGGAAGGCTCAGGAATGCCGTTTTACTATGGAGGGGCAGTATGTCACAGAGATGGTTGTTATATCTCCGAGGAAGGCTCAGGAATGCCGTTTTACTATGGAGGGGCAGTATGTCACAGAGATGGTCGTTATATCTCCGAGGAAGGCCCAGGAATGCCGTTTTACTATGGAGGGGTAGTATGTCACAGAGATGGTAGTTATATCTCTGAGGAAGGCTCAGGAATGCCATTTTACTATGGAGGGGTAGTATGTCACAGAGCTGGTTGTTATATCTCCGAGGAAGGCCCAGGAATGCCGTTTTACTATGGAGGGGGAGTATGTCACAGAGATGGTTGTTATATCTCTGAGGAAGGCCCAGGAATGCCGTTTTACTATGGAGGGGTAGTATGTCACAGAGATGCACTGTCTAGTTGCTATTTACTGTCTTCAACAGAGGAAATTTCCTGTTAAACATTTAACCCTTTCACCAATGTAGACCATAATGGACTCATCCGGATCAATGCATCGTAGAGGCTAGTAAAGTTACATAGGGGTGAAATGGTTAAGAAATAATACAAGCTATTGAAGAACCCAACAGGTAGTAGCTTAGTTACCTCCCTTAGTTCCTGGATACAGTTGACCGCACACCAGTCAAACTCAACACTGCTGCCGATACGATACACACCAGAACCAATCACCATGACATAACCCCCAGGGAAACTGAGGTCATGGGCTGAGGCATTGTAGGTGAGGTACAAGTAGTTAGTCTGGGCCGGCCATTCTGCTGCGACTGTGTCAATCTGCTTCACATATGGTGTGATCTTCATTTCCGTCCGCAGCTTCCGTATCACTAGGCTTGTACTGAAAAATTTAAGGGATGTAGACTGTATTTTTTTATACATATCAAAACAGTGCTATCATTTCCTGCCAGCCAACAAGTGCTTGATCAATCTTTAACATGACAGTGGACAATTTCTGGAACAGTTAATGTAAACATATTCTTCAATCCTGATGTGTTGGTTAAAACAAATATGTTTAAGAATCAATTGCAATTTCATATTTATATGCCTGTGGAAAAACAACACGCCTTTCAGACTTCAGTGGTCAAAGTATTTTATTTGATCAAACAAGATAGTTCTCTAGCCCAGCAAGCTATCAGTCAAATATCAAGGATTACAGCCATTCTAAATTGATCGTAGCCAATGGCTGAAAAGTGAATCTTTGCAGCCACCTCTTTGATGCTGTTAAGACATCACAACTCAGAAGAAGACTTTTTATTTTTTAAATGTTTTTGATACCATCAATCCCAGCAATCCACTGGCCAAATATCTTAACTCTTGCTTAAAGGATTAACTTGACAACACAGTATCAGATGAATGTTGTACCAGACAGGTTAAAACAATTAAGTATATCTACAGGATGTGAAGTAAATTTCTGAACCTACCATTCCACCGCACTAGCTATTTGTTCATCACAGAATCCCAGCTGTTTGGCCTCCATCATCGTGTCTCTGGGAATTTCACTGGCCTACAACATAAAGATTACAGTTGGTCAGGGTCATAGCAGCACCTTAACACATTTTTTCATTTCAAGCAAAATTTAAATTTACTTTCATTGCCTTGTTAAACACTTTGATTCAACAATTATCCTTTTTTACATGCTTCTCATTAATTATTCAATCAAATGTAAATCTGACAAGAAATCATTTTAACAGGAAATCAAGTCATAATTCTGACCCTTACTCTGTAGATCTCTGAGTGTTTCTGTTTTAGTCAGTTACCGTAACTCTGTAGTTCTCTGAGTGTTTCTGTGTTAGTAACTTATCGTACGATTACACTGTAGATCTCGGAGTGTTTGTGTTTTAGTCAGTTACCGTAACTCTGTAGTTCTCTGAGTGTTTCTGTTTTAGTCAGTTACCATAACTCTGTAGATCTCTGAGTGTTTCTGTTTTAGTAACTTATCGTACAATTACTCTGTAGATCTCTGAGTGTTTCTGTTTTAGTCAGTTACCGTAACTCTGTAGTTCTCTGAGTGTTTCTGTTTTAGTCAGTTACCATAACTCTGTAGATCTCTGAGTGTTTCTGTTTTAGTAACTTATCGTACAATTACACTGTAGATCTCGGAGTGTTTCTGTTTTAGTCAGTTACCGTAACTCTGTAGTTCTCTGAGTGTTTCTGTTTTAGTCAGTTACCATAACTCTGTAGATCTCTGAGTGTTTCTGTTTTAGTAACTTATCGTACAATTACACTGTAGATCTCGGAGTGTTTCTGTTTTAGTCAGTTACCGTAACTCTGTAGTTCTCTGAGTGTTTCTGTTTTAGTCAGTTACCATAACTCTGTAGATCTCTGAGTGTTTCTGTTTTAGTAACTTATCGTACAATTACACTGTAGATCTCGGAGTGTTTCTGTTTTAGTCAGTTACCGTAACTCTGTAGTTCTCTGAGTGTTTCTGTTTTAGTCAGTTACCATAACTCTGTAGATCTCTGAGTGTTTCTGTTTTAGTAACTTATCGTACAATTACACTGTAGATCTCGGAGTGTTTCTGTTTTAGTCAGTTACCGTAACTCTGTAGTTCTCTGAGTGTTTCTGTTTTAGTCAGTTACCATAACTCTGTAGATCTCTGAGTGTTTCTGTTTTAGTAACTTATCGTACAATTACACTGTAGATCTCGGAGTGTTTCTGTTTTAGTCAGTTACCGTAACTCTGTAGTTCTCTGAGTGTTTCTGTTTTAGTCAGTTACCATAACTCTGTAGATCTCTGAGTGTTTCTGTTTTAGTAACTTATCGTACAATTACACTGTAGATCTCGGAGTGTTTCTGTTTTAGTCAGTTACCGTAACTCTGTAGTTCTCTGAGTGTTTCTGTTTTAGTCAGTTACCATAACTCTGTAGATCTCTGAGTGTTTCTGTTTTAGTAACTTATCGTACAATTACACTGTAGATCTCGGAGTGTTTCTGTTTTAGTCAGTTACCGTAACTCTGTAGTTCTCTGAGTGTTTCTGTTTTAGTCAGTTACCATAACTCTGTAGATCTCTGAGTGTTTCTGTTTTAGTAACTTATCGTACAATTACACTGTAGATCTCGGAGTGTTTCTGTTTTAGTCAGTTACCGTAACTCTGTAGTTCTCTGAGTGTTTCTGTTTTAGTCAGTTACCATAACTCTGTAGATCTCTGAGTGTTTCTGTTTTAGTAACAAACCGTTACTCTGTAGATCTCTGAGTGTTTCTGTTTTAGTAACTTACCGTTACTCTGTAGATCTCTGAGTGTTTCTGTTTAGGTAACTTACCCTTACTCTGTAAATCTGCGGGTGTTTCTGTTTTAGTAACTTACCCTTACTCTGTAGATCTCTGAGTGTTTCTGTTTTAGTAACTTACCCTTACTCTGTAGATCTCTGAGTGTTTCTGTTTTAGTAACTTACCCTTACTCAGTAGATCTCTGAGTGTTTCTGTTTTAGTAACTTACCGTTACTCTGTAGATCTCTGAGTGTTTCTGTTTTAGTAACTTACTGTTACTCTGTAGATCTGTGAATGTTTCTGTTTTAGTAACTTACCGTTACTCTGTAGATCTCTGAGTGTTTCTGTCTAAGTAACCTACCCTTACTCTGAAGATCTCTAAATGTTTCCGTTTAAGTAACTTACCCTTACTCTGTAGATCTCTGAGTGTTTCTGTTTTTAATGCCTTACCCTTCCTCTGTAGATCTCTAGACATATTGTTTTTAATGCCCTACCCTTCCTCTGTAGGTCTCCAGGTTTGTGTAGTAGTCAGTGATGTTTTAATGCCTTACCCTTCCTCTGTAGATCTCTAGACATATTGTTTTTAATTCCCTACCCTTCCTCTGTAGGTCTCCAGGCTTGTGTAGTAGTCAGTGATGTTTTTATTGCCTTACCCTTCCTCTGCAGGTCTCCAGGTTTGTGTAGTAGTCAGTGGTGTTATTAATGCCTTACCCTTCCTCTGTAGATCTCTAGACATATTGTTTTTAATTCCCTACCCTTCCTCTGTAGGTCTCCAGTTTTGTGTAGTAGTCAGTGATGTTTTAATGCCTTACCCTTCCTCTGTAGATCTCTAGACATATTGTTTTTAATTCCCTACCCTTCCTCTGTAGGTCTCCAGGCTTGTGTAGTAGTCAGTGATGTTTTTAATGCATTACCCTTCCTCTGTAGGTCTCCAGGATTGTGTAGTAGTCGGTGATGTTTTTAATGCCTTACCCTTCCTATGTAGGTCTCTAGACATATTGTTTTTAATGCCCTTCCCTTCCTCTGTAGGTCTCCAGGTTTGAGTAGTAGTCAGTGATGTTTTTAATGCATAACCCTTCCTCTGTAGGTCTCCAGGTTTGTGTAGTAGTCAGTGATGTTTTTAATGCCTTACCCTTCCTCTGTAGGTCTCTAGACATATTGTTTTTTATTGCCTTACCCTTCCTCTGTAGGTCTCCAGGTTTGTGTAGTAGTCGGTGATGTTTTTAATGCCTTACCCTTCCTCTGTAGGTCTCCAGATTTATGTAGTAGTCAGTGATGTTTTTAATGCCTTACCCTTCCTTTGTAGGTCTCCAGGTCTGTGTAGTAGTCAGTGATGTTTTTAATGCCTTACCCTTCCTCTGTATGTCTCCAGGTTTGTGTAGTAGTCAGTGATGTTTGTAATGCCTTACCCTTCCTCTGTAGGTCTCCAGATTTATGTAGTAGTCATTGATGTTTTTAATGCCTTACCCTTCCTTTGTAGGTCTCCAGGTTTGTCTAGTAGTCAGTGATGTTTTTAATGCCTTACCCTTCCTCTGTAAGTTTCCAGGTTTGTGTAGTAGTCAGTGATGTTTTTACTGCCTTACCCTTCCTCTGTAGGTCTCCAGGTTTGTGTAGGAGTCAGTGATGTTTTTAATGCCTTACCCTTCCTTTGTAGGTCTCCGGGTTTGTGTAGTAGTCAGTGATGTTTTTAATGCCTTTCCCTTCCTTTGTAGGTCTCCAGGTTTGTGTAGTAGTCAGTGATTTTTTTAATGCCTTACCCTTCCTCTGTAAGTCTCCAGGTTTGTGTAGTAGTCAGTGATCTTTTTAATGCCTTACCCTTCCTCTGTAGGTCTCAAGGTTTGTGTAGTAGTCAGTGATGTTTTAATGCCTTACCCTTCCTCTGTAAGTCTCCAGCTTTGTGTAGTAGTCAGTGATGTTTTTAATGCCTAACCCTTCCTCTGTAGGTCTCCCGGTTTGTGTAGTAGTCAGTGATGTTTTTAATGTCTTACCCTTCCTCTGTAGGTCTCCAGGTTTGTGTAGTAGACAGTGATGTTTTTAATGCCTTACCCTTCCTCTGTAGGTCTCAAGGTTTGTGTAGTAGTCAGTGATGTTTTAATGCCTTACCCTTCCTCTGTAAGTCTCCAGCTTTGTGTAGTAGTCAGTGATGTTTTTAATGCCTAACCCTTCCTCTGTAGGTCTCCAGGTTTGTGTAGGAGTCAGTGATGTTTTTAATGCCTTACCCTTCCTCTGTAGGGCTCCCGGTCTGTGTAGTAGTCAGTGATGTTTTTAATGCCTTACCCCTCCTCTGTAGGTCTCCAGGTTTGAGTAGTAGTCAGTGATGTTTTTAATGTCTTACCCTTCCTCTGTAAGTCTCCAGGTTTGTGTAGTAGTCAGTGATCTTTTTAATGCCTTACCCTTCCTCTGTAGGTCTCAAGGTTTGTGTAGTAGTCAGTGATGTTTTAATGCCTTACCCTTCCTCTGTAAGTCTCCAGGTTTGTGTAGTAGTCAGTGATCTTTTTAATGCCTTACCCTTCCTCTGTAGGTCTCCAGGTTTGGGTAGTAGTCAGTGATGTTTTTAAACTTGTTGAGGAACCATTTATCAATCTTGCTCAGCTCGTACAATTTATCGATGGTGTAGTTCTGTTTCAGTGCCGCAGACAGCACAAATATACGCTTCCTCTGTAGGTCTCCAGGTTTGTGTAGTTGTCAGTGATGTTTTTAATGCCTTACCCTTCCTCTGTAGGGCTCCCGGTCTGTGTAGTAGTCAGTGATGTTTTTAATGCCTTACCCTTCCTCTGTATGTCTCCAGGTTTGTGTAGTAGTCAGTGATGTTTTAATGCCTTACCCTTCCTCTGTAAGTCTCCAGCTTTGTGTAGTAGTCAGTGATGTTTTTAATGCCTAACCCTTCCTCTGTAGGTCTCCAGGTTTGAGTAGTAGTCAGTGATGTTTTTAATGTCTTACCCTTCCTCTGTAGGTCTCCAGGTTTGTGTAGGAGTCAGTGATGTTTTTAATGCCTTACCCTTCCTTTGTAGGTCTCCAGGTCTGTGTAGTAGTCAGTGATGTTTTTAATGCCTTACCCTTCCTTTGTAGGTCTCCAGGTCTGTGTAGTAGTCAGTGATGTTTTTAATGCCTTACCCTTCCTCTGTAGGGCTCCCGGTCTGTGTAGTAGTCAGTGATGTTTTTAATGCCTTACCCTTCCTTTGTAGGTCTCCAGGTTTGTCTAGTAGTCAGTGATGTTTTTAATGCCTTACCCTTCCTCTGTATGTCTCCAGGTTTGTGTAGTAGTCAGTGATGTTTTTAATGCCTAACCCTTCCTCTGTAGGTCTCCCGGTTTGTGTAGTAGTCAGTGATGTTTTTAATGTCTTACCCTTCCTCTGTAGGTCTCCAGGTTTGTGTAGTAGTCAGTGATGTTTGTAATGCCTTACCCTTCCTCTGTAGGTCTCCAGATTTATGTAGTAGTCAGTGATGTTTTTAATGCCTTACGCTTCCTTTGTAGGTCTCCAGGTTTGTGTAGTAGTCAGTGATTTTTTTAATGCCTTACCCTTCCTCTGTAAGTCTCCAGCTTTGTGTAGTAGTCAGTGATGTTTTTAATGCCTTTCCCTTCCTTTGTAGGTCTCCAGGTTTGTGTAGTAGTTCGTGATGTTTTTAATGCCTTACCCTTCCTCCGTAAGTCTCCAGGTTTGTGTAGTAGTCAGTGATCTTTTTAATGCCTTACCCTTCCTCTGTAGGTCTCTAGACATATTGTTTTTTATTGCCTTACCCTTCCTCTGTAGGTCTCCAGGTTTGTGTAGGAGTCAGTGATGTTTTTAATGCCTTACCCTTCCTCTGTAGGTCTCCAGGTTTGTGTAGTAGTCAGTGATGTTTTTAAACTTGTTGAGGAACCATTTATCAATCTTGGTCAGCTCGTACAATTTATCGATGGTGTAGTTCTGTTTCAGTGCCGCAGACAGCACAAATATACGCTGGTCAGTAGGATTATGTAGCTCCTGTAATACAACCAGTTACATTCAAGTTATTTCCATTTCAAGAGTTATTTCCCTTTCAAGTGGAGTCGATCATTTCTAGAGTTATTTCCCTTTTAAATGCAATTGATTATTTCCATTTCAAGGGTTATTTCCCTTTCAAGTGCAATTGATTATTTCTAGACTTATTTCCCTTTCAAGTGCAGTAGGCCTCAGACCACAATGCTTCCGGTTCGTTTTACATGAATGTAGTGCATTTTTCAAATTAAGGCTCGTTTTTAAATGAGTTTTTATTTCTTTCATGTGAATAAAAGAAACTATATGTCAAACCAAAGTAAAGCATATAATCTTTCCCCCTTTAAATAACTTGGTTGATTAAATTTATGTGAAAGTTATTTTGGTGGAACAATTGGCATGTTGTTGGGCCCTTGAGCATGAATTTCAGAGTCATATCACAGTACAACAGGGTTATATGTTGACATAATTAAAAAAATTAATATGTCGGTCATAAATACTCCTCCTCCAGCTCATCATATCTGTGTCTTCTGATACAATGTAGCTGAACAAAACCTATAAAAATCAAGTCTCGAGCAAAATTATGTAACATTATCTAAAGTGTTTTTCTTTGGTAAGAACATATAGGGAAATTGATTGTGGTCCAAGGCCAGTAAGATCAACTTAATCTGATTATATAGTACTATCTGTAGAACAATTTCCCTATCAAAGGTTCCCATAACATACCAACAGGAATATGTTTGGGTGCACCGAATGTTTTACCTGGGCAACAAATATCTTATCATATTTTTTAAAGAAAGACATCTTCCACTTTACGAAGAAGGAAGAAACTTAACTATAAGTAATAGTTCCTTACTTTTTTCACTAGCACTCTATTGAATTTTGAAAACCAGCGAAACCTGAGTTTACTTTGTGCAGGTAAGTAAAATATATTTGTTTCTATTTATATTTATTTCAAAGGGACATAACATCAAAAACAATATTTCAGTTATGGAATTTATGTGTTGTCTGCACTGCCAATTATGTTTCCCTGCTATCCCCGAATCATACGTTAGTTGTACACATGCCAATATTCAAATGAACCAATCTTTGTTGGCATCGTCTGCCTTTTATAAGGGACCAGGAAATATGTATTACTAGGATAAGGATTTAACACAGGAATACAACCCCTTTTCTCAAACTTACACCAACACAGGACAAACTTTTCTTTCGAAAGAAATATTCATGAGATTGAACACTATTTTCGTTAAGTGCATGCAGTGACAACTTATAAAACATGTTTGTTAAATCAGGTAAATTAACTGAGTATGTGGTTTATTTTATTATCAAAACTCTATGACTTCTGATTTTTCTTTTAACCTCTTCATTCAAGACCATGTGGTTTATAGTTTTGATATTGTAAATAACATTTGCTTTTTTTAAAAGAATACATTAAAACGATACCAATTCACTGGACCTAGAAATAATATAACATCAGTTGTGTTATAAGTCATGACTGCACTGTATAACCATGGAATTAGATTAGACCATCGATGTCCATGTGAAATTATCCTACGGAGGGCCCCATCGCAAAAACAGACTAACCAGTAGCCTAACTTATCTCTTCCCTTCGCATCAACTTTATGGAAATACATCTGATACATGCCCATTTACATAACAAAGTACATTCATTCGTGTTCCAAAGACAAAGATTATAGCCATATAAAAGCTTTTAAATGCTTATTCACAACGTAAACACCACTGCGTTCGATTCCACATCAGCTTAATTCAACTTCATACCGTAATTCCTGCAGTTTGTTTTGACCATTTGTCAACTCATCATTTCGTAGGTGACGCAAAACAGTTTTCTGATGCATAACAGTGTTAATTCACTCGCTAACACTTCACATCAACTTAATGGAAATACAAAGTAAATTCAATCTGATATATGCCCATTTACGTAACAAAGTGTATTCATTTGTTTTCCAAAGACAAAGAAATTAGCCTCGTAAAAGCGTTAAAATTGTATTCACCACATAAATACCACTGCCCTGGATTCAACGTCAGCTTTATTCACCTTCATACAATAATTCCTGCAGTATGTTTGGACCATTTGTCAACTCTTCGCTTCGTAGCTGATGCGAAACAGTTTTCCACTCGCTAACACTTCCATTGATAGCCATTTTCTTTACAATGAAATGGCGTGTTATGCGCATGTGTTATCAGAGTGACGCAAACTTGTCCTGTATAAAATGTCTGACCAGACATGATAACTTATATGATGAGACTTAAGTATACCTTGTCAGAAGTAGTTAAAAACATTTTTGAATATGTAACGGCAAAATCCGACTGATTTTCCATTTGGACTCTCACTTGATATCTTCATGCAGTACAAGTAATAAAACAAGAGGCCCAATGGGCCTGAATCGCTCACCTGGTATTAATCTCACACTCGTAATCGTAAAAGTGGAATAAAATACAGCTACAGGCAGAATATCAGTGTTTGATTCATAAGATCCTATTAAAAGATTTAAACATATGACCTTGAATGTCGAACAAGGACATTAGGTTGAACAGAGTTTATAGTCTTCCAACCCAGCATGCTTCTGTGAAAATATCAGTACCCTGGACCTTTTGGTTATACAGAACAAGTCATTTAAAGATTTAAACATATATGACCACTGTCACCTTGAATTTGGGCGAAGGTCATTCATTTGAACAAAATTGGTAGTCCTTCAACCCTGCATGTTAATGGCCAAATATCATCACCCTTGGCCTTTTGGTTTTTGAGAAGTCGTTTTAAAGGTTTTAAACATATTTGACCCCTTTGACCTTGAACATATGTCAAAAGTCATTCATTTGAACAAACTTGGTAGTCCTTCATCCCAGCATGTTACTGGCCAAATATCATCATCCTATGCCTCTTGGTTATTGAGGAGAAGTTGTTTGATGATTTTAAGACATTTGACCTCTGTGGCCTTGAAAGTGGGTCAAGGTCATTCATTTGAACAAACTTGGTAGCCCTTCATCCCAGCATGCTACAGGCCTAATATCAGTACCCTGGGCCTTTTGGTTATTGAGAAGTTGTTTGAAAATTTTAACACATTTGACCAATGTGACCTTGAACGTGGGTCAAGGTAATTCATTTGAACAAACTTGGTAGCCCCCCATCCCAGCATGCTACAGGCTCAATATCAGTACCCTGGGCCTTTTGGTTATTGAGAAGAAGTTGTTTGAAGATTTTAACACATTTGACCCCTGTGACCTTGAAAGGGGGTCAAGGTCATTTATTCGAACAAAATTGGTAGCCCTTTATCCCAGCATGCTACAGGCCCAATTTCAGTACCCTGGGCCTTTTGGTTATTGAGAAGAAGTCGTTCGAAGATTTTAACATATTTAACCAATGAGACCTTGAACGTGGGTCAAGGTAATTCATTTGAACAAACTTGGTAGCCCTTCATCCCAGCATGCTACAGACCCAATATCACACTAGGCCTTTTAGTTATTGAGAAGAAGTTGTTTCAAGTAAAATATTGACGCTGGACGACGGCCGGCCAGATAACGGACGCTGCACCATGGCATAAGCTCACGGGCAAGTGAGCTAAAAAAGGTTATTAAAAAAAAAATACTTCATTGTGATGTCCCTTTAAATCAAACACTAGTTTGACTGTATATATCTACAAGTTGTCACACACAATATCCATCACTTCCAGGGGCCATGCTGAAGTAAGTATAGTAACCATATATCTAGTTAGTAGTAGGTATAAAACACAACTTCACACAGCATTCTTCAATCTCACACCAAAATATTTTTTTCAAATATCATTTCCAAGTCATAATGTTGGATATCTCGTGTCCATTAGATCGGCTGTATTTCTTGAAAACAATACAACAATGTCATGGTTTTCTTTGTTGTTTAAGGGTTTATGTGTGTGAATAAATTATGTCTCAAGTTATCAGTAAATATGCACTGTAGTCTGAATTAAAACTAAGGGTTTATGTGTGTGAATAAATTATGTCTCCAATTATCAGTAAATTTGCACTGTAGTTTGAATTGAAACTAAGGTTTTATGTGTGTGAATACATTATGTCTCCAGTTATCAGTAAATATGCACTGTAGTTTGAATTAAAACTAAGGGTTTATGTATGTGAATAAATTATGTCTCCAATTATCAGTAAATATGCACTGTAGTTTGAATTAAAACTAAGGTTTCATGTATGTGAATAAATTATGTCTCCATTTATCAGTAAATATGCACTGTAGTTTTAATTACCGTAAAAACCCATGTAATTTGCGCACTTTTTTTTCAGAAATTTAATACCCAAAGTGGGGGGTGCGTAAAATACACAGGTATAGAAAAATTCAAGTTTTTTTCAGGAAAAGATCGACGATTCTGAGAGATCGCCATCTTGGATTATGTCCCTTGGTACACGGAACTCTAAGACAAATGACGATCAACAAATTTATTTATGTCAAACATTAATAAAAGATACATAATGTGTTGTTATGTGAGTTTATGTGAAAAGTATTAATAAATAGGTAACCGTTAACAAAAAAAGTTTAGCCAAATTCCTATGCCAGAGAATCGCCGATCAACTTACGACATTACGTTTCGACATCTCGGTGCGTTTCCCCATACTATTACGAAAATGTAGTTGTTCAATTTAAGCTCCGTTCTATGTAAGTTCTGTAAGTTTTTTCAAATCGCCTATGCGTATACGTATAGCATGGTTTTTTTCCGGCTCACTTTCATGTTGATCTCGCGTCTAACATTACGTAAACACGTGATTGATAATAACCTCGTGAATTATTTCAATATTTATTAAATGAAGCATCGTAAAAATAGTCTGCGTTAACTATTTTTTTCCTTGGAGTAGATTTGAAGAGGATGTATTGATTGTCCACGCTTCTAGTATAAACATATTTTTTATAATCCCTTATCAGTCAAATCAGTCTGTAGTTATGACAATGCAGTAGGGCTTCGTAATTCACGCCACGTGTTGGCGAGTGAAAAAAACAACAACACGGTCCGTCGATCGCGACTGCAAATCATTTCAATTAGTAGAGCTATTGTTAACGGGTAATCACAGAGATAGTGTTAGCTCATTACTGCATTGTAATTTGTAAAAAAATATCGCCAAACCACGGACTTAGATAATCTAATTCCGTGGCCAAACTGAACTGTGACATGACCTGGTTTGAAGTGACGTAACCCAAGCCGCCATGATGAGCCCTTCTCACTGATCGTAATTATGATCAATAAAAGGTATCTAATTATGTCTTTCACCAGGAGATATGCACCAGCGGTTACTAAACATCGAATTACTTATTAATTGATATGTTTTTGTAAGCAAGTAAATGTTTTATGTAAAATATTGCTAAAATGAATTGATGTATGCCGATATGCGCACACGTGTGTGTCATGTGTGATCAGATAATTCAAAGAAAACAAGCAACAAAATACACATTTTACGTAGTTTCTTCTTGGTTTTAAATATCATTTTACATCAATGAAAAAAAAATCATAGAAATATATTTAAAAAAAATATATTCAGAGATCGATTTTCGGAGCATGAACATCGTTTTTTTTCCAGATTTTTTGGGTGCGCAAAATATTCGAGTAGAACCTTTTTTCCCGATTTTCAGCCTCAAAAAGTACCTGCGCAAGTTACACAGGTGCGCAAATTAAATGGGTTTTTACGGTAAAACTAAGGGTTTATGTATGTGAATAAATTATGTCAAGATATTTTTCACAGTTTAAAAGTTACAGCCCTGACAAGACTGTAAGAGAAGGAGAACCAGAAGTACTATTTAAGTACTTATACAACGATATGTCTCCTTTATTCAAAGGGGTTGGTTTGGTTTATATATTGCTTAACGTCATATTAACAGCTAAGGTGATCTAAAAACATGCCTCCATGTGTGTAATACATGTGTGCTTGTGTGCTTGTGTGTATGTGTGCTGGAGGCAGTAGTGTATTTTCCTCCTGGCGATAACGCGGATTTGATGACGACTTTAAGAGTGCTACCTCACTGAAATAGCATGCCGAAGGCACCCAGCACAGTATTACACCCGGTCACATTATACTGACAACTGGTGAACCAATTTTGTGATAACCCTTAATGCTAAAATCTAAGCAGGGAAAAGAGGTACTACCATTTTTAAGGACTTTGGTATGTCCCTGCCTTGGGAGGGAACCCATTTTATTCAAAGGGGAAACATACTAACAAGGTAGCTATGGGAGTCAGGCCTGAAAGATTAGCATGGAAACTGGATGGGTTAGGATCGGGGGAATGAGACAAGGCGAGGAGGAGGTGGGGAAATATTAAAGCAATGGTAATGGATGTTATCTCACAGAATTGTTTTTTTCTAACACGGCAAAATATTTCAAACAATCACAAACATTTTTTAACTATCTATCACAAATAAAATAATAAGAATTCCTAACCAACTTCGTGATTTTACATGAGGAATTAATAATCTGATGTATAAGAATACCTGTAGACTTTGAAACATGCTGTGAAATCACATATTTTCGTGGGGCTCAAATTTCGTGGTTTCCCAACAAAATACCATTTCATTGGTACATGGATTTGCAAAGTTCCCACTTAAATAGAGCATAGCTCTTAGTCAAACTTGTCATTACTTCGTGGACCAATGAATTCTTAGATTTAGATTACCCTCGAAATCAACAAAATTAAAACCCCATGAAAATTAGTGATTTTACAGTACCTGGTGGAAAAGCTGGTGTGTGCATGTGTTCATCATGAAAATATACCTGATGGTTCATTGTATACAGGTGTAATTTTTCTGATTTAAAGGTGAATGAAGGTTACTGGCAAGCAAATATGAACATGAAAATATAATTTTGTATATAAAGATATTGGCAATAATTGTGTTTAAAAAAGACCAAACAAAATAAATCAACCTTGCACATCAAAAACTTATACTTGCATTAGTAAATTTAATTTTTATCAAGTATAATGTCTCCTAAATATAACATCACTAGTACTTGTAACTGCTGTGACTTTTAAACTGTCCATTTGAATTTAAAAATCTTAAGTAAAATCTGCTTCTTCTGCATGATACCTGAAATGTGTGATATTCTGTTTTGTAAATGTTTTGCTACTTTTATGTAAGTATTTATACAAAAAAACTGCCAAGCTAAAACAAAGTTCCTTACTAAATTATTTTGTACTGCAGTTCATTAAACTATTGGAATAAGATCAGGTTTTATACCATGAAAAATGCCGCAAATCAAACCTCCATTATTTTAACCTAAATTTCCTTTATATGATTGTTTTACTCACAGATTGGTCTATAGGAAATCTGACATGTATGAAAATGGTTGTTTTAAAACCATTCTAATCAAACAATTATAATTCTAAAGAATGGACAATGCAAACTATTTTTTTTTTTTATTAAATTATGACTTCAGTTTCAATAAAAGATACACAACTTAAAAATTGTACTCTACAAAAAAAAAATCATCATTCAAATTGGGCTTTTTAAAAAAGAAAGTTGTCTGAAGAAATTGAAACCTGAAATAACAGAACAGTGATACAATATTTAAACCAAACTTTTGTGGTTTGAGTAAGACCAATAACTTAAACCAAACTTTTGTGGTTTGAGTAAGACCAATAACTTAAACCAAACTTTTGTGGTTTGAGTAAGACCAATAACTTAAACCAAACTTTTGTGGTTTGAGTAAGACCAATAACTTAAACCAAACTTTTGTGGTTTGAGTAAGACCAATAACTTAAACCAAACTTTTGTGGTTTGAGTAAGACCAATAACTTAAACCAAACTTTTGTGGTTTGAGTAAGACCAATAACTTAAACCAAACTTTTGTGGTTTGAGTAAGACCAATAACTTAAACCAAACTTTTGTGGTTTGAGTAAGACCAATAACTTAAACCAAACTTTTGTGGTTTGAGTAAGACCAATAACTTAAACCAAACTTTTGTGGTTTGAGTAAGACCAATACCTTAAAAAGATAAAAGTGGAAATGACACAATCATATGTTTGTTATTGTAAAACCTATCACCAAAGATAACAGAGCGACCATCTTGTCTGATGATCATCATATGATCACTAGCACTCTAAATGGTTATAGGACAAAGGAACTGTGATGTGCGTGTAACTTACCTTGAGGAAGTCGACCTGCTAACACACAAACGTTTACCTTGATATCTTGTACAGTTTTATTACGGATTAGAATCCCATTCACTTCTAAATACTACGGAGGTTTTGTAAGTCCCATTACTCGAAATCTTGTAGTTTTATTATGGATTAGAATCCCATTCACTTCTAAATACTTCGGACGTTTTATAAGTCCCATTCCTCAAAAACTTGTAGTTTTATTATGGATTAGAATCCCATTCACTTCTAAACACTACAGACGTTTTGTAAGTCCCATTCATCGAAATCTTGTACAGTTTTATTATGGATTAGAATCCCATTCACTTCTAAATACTACGGACGTTTTATAAGTCCCATTCCTCAAAATCTTGTAGTTTTATTATGGATTAGAATCCCATTTACTTCTAAATACTACGGACATTTTGTAAGTCCCATTCCTCGAAATCTTGTACAGCTTTATTACGGATTAGAATCCCATTCACTTCTAAATACAACGGACATTTTGTAAGTCCCATTCCTCAAAATCTTGTACAGTTTTATTATGGATTAGAATCCCATTCACTTCAAAATACTACGGACGTTTTGTAAGTCCCATTCCTCGAAATCTTGTAGTTTTATCATGGATTAGAATCCCACTCACTTCTAAATACTACAGACATTTTGTAAGTCCCATTTATCGAAATCTTGTAGTTTTATCATGGATTAGAATCCCATCCACTTGAAAATCCTAAGGACGTTTTGTAAGTCCAATTCCTCGAAATCTTGTTCATTTTTATTATGGATTAAAATCCCATTTACTTCTAAATACTACAGACATTTTGTAAGTCCCATTTATCGAAATCTTGTAGTTTTATCATGGATTAGAATCCCAATCACTTCTAAATACTACGAATGTTTTGTAAGTCCCACTCATCGAAATCTTGTAGTTTTATCATGGATTAGAATCCCAATCACTTCTAAATACTACGAACGTTTTGTAAGTCCGATTCCTCAAAATCTTGTTTTTTTATTATGGATTAGAATCCCATTCACTTCTAAATACTACGAACGTTTTGTAAGTCCCATTCCTCAAAATCTTGTTGTTTTATTATGGATTAGAATCCCATTTACTTCTAAATACTACGGACGTTTTGTAAGTCCCATTCATCGAAATCTTGTAGTTTTATTATGGATTAGAATCCCATTCACTTCTAAATACTACGAATGTTTTGTAAGTCCCATTCCTCAAAATCTTGTAGTTTTATTATGGATTAGAATCCCATTCACTTCTAAATACTACGGACGTTTTATAAGTCCCATTCCTCGAAATCTTGTACAGTTTTATTATGGATTAGAATCCCATTTACTTCTAAATACTACGGACGTTTTGTAAGTCCCATTCCTCGAAATCTTGTACAGTTTTATTATGGATTAGAATCCCATATACTTCTAAATACAACGGACATTTTGTAAGCCCCATTCCTCGAAATCTTGTACAGCTTTATTGCGGATTAGAATCCCATTCACTTCTAAATACTACGGACGTTTTGTAAGTCCCATTCCTCGAAATCTTGTACAGTTTTATTATAGATTAGAATCCCATTCACTTCTAAATACTACGGAGGTTTTGCAAGTCCCATTCCTCGAAATCTTGTACAGTTTTATTATAGATTAGAATCCCATTCACTTCTAAATACTACGGACGTTTTGTAAGTCCCATACTAGTCAAAGACTTTTCCTATAAATTACCGGTCTCCTTATCTCTCACCACTATACCCATTTTAAAATCTCATACTTTATATTGTAAAAAAAATCAATGTGTTTTACCTGTGCTAAATATCTATTGATCTTGCAGCTAAATTTCATTTATATCGCCATTGAATTTTATATCTCCCAGCCTGATCTACTTTTATCTACTGGGGTATCAGCAATTTTTTTCTCTTTCACTTCAATTTTGTTCTCTAAGTTTTATCTGATTGATCAGTTGAACCAGTCTCTTTCTCTCAACTGTTAACTATTTTAAGCAATGTCTAATAGATGTTAAGTTGAAGTAAAATGTGAGTAGTCTGTAAGATATTATTTCACTTTCTATTTCTTTATTTTTTTATTCAATTTCACATTTAAATTAAGAGTTTATCACAATTTTCAGCAACAGGTAAATCCTAAATATACCTTGACTGATTTCTATATAGAGGAGGAAAGTTGCAATAAGTAAGTACAGGAGTAAAACAGGGATTCCTCTAAATATAATGATATATAACTGAAAATGTTTGTTCCAAAACAACAAAATTTGCCAATTTCAGCAATATCACATTCAGTTTAATTGTTATTAGCTTTCCTGAGAGAGAAGAACTAAATTGTACAATACCCTACATTAGAATTCTCTAAAGTTGTCTATAATTCCGATTCATGACCTTTTGCTTCAAGATGAACAGAAATATACAAATTGCACTTATAATCACCAAAAACTTTACCAAATGTATACACAGTTTTGATATCTTCAGAGCTCTGGGTTTATATAACCAGATTCATTTTTTTTTTTTCAATTTTCAAAATCGTTGACGTAAGACAGATATATTTTAGGACACTGCCTTTATGCAGGGGTCAAATATTGACCTTAGATTATGTAGGGGTCAAATATTGACCTCAGATTATGTTGGGGTCAAATATTGACCTAATATTATTTAGTGGTCAAATATTGACCTAAGATTATGTTGGGGTCAAATATTGACCTAAGATTATGTAGGGGTCAAATATTGACCTAAGATTACGTAGGGGTCGAATATTGACCTGAGACACTTACACTTTCAGACACTGCATTTATGTAGGGGTCAAATCCCTCCTTGGTTTCGTCCACCATACGCAGAGCTTTCTGTATGGCCTCCTCAAACTTCCGTCCGATAGCCATTACCTCCCCCACACTCTTCATGGAGCTGCCAATCTACCAATAAAAAGACAGCATTAATATCACCATAACTACAGCAGCAGAGCTCAACATTAACTTTTTGAGATTAGTCTCAGGTGTTTACCTGTCTAAAGGACAGGTATTTACCTGTCTAGATGAAAATTGTACTTGTCCAGAAAAATACTCGATTCATTGTGAATGATATCACCAGTACAAGTCTCCATTGTTTAATAATGGTGTACGTTGTGTGGACACTGATTTAGATGGCAATGCTCTGTGACTATGACCTTTGAGAAATGGCTTGGACCAAGGTAAGGTCACACTTTGGGTTATAGGTAACAAGAGGCCCAGGGGCCTTAATAGCTCACCTGGTGGATATAATACATATTTATCAAAAACAGTATAAGAAACTCTTTTAGCCATTGGAAGATTATATTACTCTTCACCTTATGTATCTTTGTGAAACTTTGTTGGAAATGTAAACATACTAAATTGATCCTAAAAAAGTTGTCAATTATAATAATTAAAGTAAATTATATGTACTCAAATATGAAAGTTAATGTTACAAAAGTAGTGATTACATGTGTCAGGAAATGTCTGAATTACCCTTAGTCATTGAAAGTTCCATTGTATAATCTGTAGATCAGAAGATGTAACCTCCCTGATTTATAATGAAGAGGTCCAGAGATTGAAACTCTGTAGAAGAGCCGAGATATATTTATGATATATGAAAAACAAATTCCTGTAAATGAGTTATTGGCCACTGTAGACCATAATGGACTCATCCAGATCAATGCATGGTAGCGTTTACTACAGTTACATAGGAATGAAAGGGTTAGTCATGCCTCCTTCCAGCGACCTGGTACCCTACACCGGCCGTCTCCGGTAGAACTCACCAAGTTTAAAGTGATCATCCTACACATTTTATGTAAGTTTGACTTTTTTTCTTTTCATCTCTTGATTTTTGTACAAATAGAGGTATCTGGTTTTTGTACTTGGTAGTAAAGATTGACAATCATATTCTACTAGCACCATGACAAGCCTGATTAGATATTTTGAAAAGGGACAGGGTTGGGCTGTGGTGAGCAGGGCAAACCAAAATGATGGGATGTACAAAGATAATCTCAAAAGTGTAATATTAAATCTGTGCAAGCATCAATGATGAAGTTTGACGAACAATTATGTTTCTCAAGAACAATGATGCCACAAATGTTTCGTAGAAATAACTTGACCATAAACTATAATTTCTGAGGTTACATGTACTTTCTGAGTTTCGGTGTTAAGAGCTTGAAATATGCGAGTTCATGTTAATCAACATTTATGTAAAATGTTTAAATAGAGCATTTGCTAAACATACTTTATCTGCTGTTGTTTATTTAGTGAAGATTTTCTTAGAAACCTCCTATTAAATTTTTTTTTACTAAAAGTTTGACAACCCTAACAAAGACTGACGCATGTTCAAGTTTAAAGTACTATACATTTACCTACTGCTGTTAGGTAAACATTTATACATATTCAAGATTTAAGAAATATTGATTTTTACCTTTTGCTGTTGTTTGGTTTGGTTATCTGTTTAAAAATGTATGCAGACAGAAAGATTTATTGTTCTCCAAGTGATTCGTTTAAACATGTTTATAAGATATAGGTAGTCATATTTCTTTTTAAACACACATGTCCTTAAATTACCTTAGCTGTTAACCAAACAAGAGGCCCAAGGGCCTTAGCGGTCACCTGAGTTATATCATAGATACTGGTAGCTTTATTTTATTGTTTAGATGTGATGTGGAAATCAGCATGTAAACTAAGTGAAATACAATACTTGTCATGTCATCAATGGATAAGAATTTGAAAATATTGGTAAATGTTTCCTTTGGGGCCCCGCTCTAGCCCCTGGGGATGGGGCAGGAATCCTAATTTTACAAAGTAAAACTCTCATTTACCCAAGATGATTCTGACTAAGTTTGAGCAATTTTCTGCTGAAAAT